GGTGACATAAAAGTATGCTTTTAGAAAAAAATTCTTTTCTACATTCAAAAGTAAATTTTTCTTTTTTTGCTGAATAATTTAGTCCTATACGAATGGATAGTGTTCAGAACTTATTAACATTAGTTAGCATTATGCTTAATTAACACAATATCAAATACAATTGTCATTGTTATTTATTCTAAACGAGTTAGATGCATTGCTAATAAGAAATTTTAAAATATTCTTCACTTATTTGATCAATTAATATTTTTCAGGTCTTTTTACCGAAAGATTTGAAAAATTATTGTTTGATTGAGACCTTTTGCCTTATTTAAGTATTAAAAAAAATAAATTAATTTTCAAGCGAAAACTTCCTCCAACTACTTGTATAGGTATATTTATCATCTTTACATACATTATTTCATAAAGTTCCAAATTCATTGAAAAAACTTATTAATTAATTGATTATGCAGGTTTATTAGCAGATACTTAATAATGCGATGAAATAATTTCTATTATTACCATCGAAAATGCAGATAAAATTGCAGATAAGATAATTTGGGAAGAAGGTCCCGAAGAAAGACCAAAACTTCGAACAAGTTGTCTTCTGATTAAGTTTATCTCCTGCTGTCTATATCTAACTTCATAAATCACTAGTGATTCCATTCCATATATATTTTGCAGGTAACTTATCAAAATAAGTTTATTAAATAATTTTAAGTAACTTGTTCTATCGAAATAATTTTCTATAATTGTTAACAATTTTTTGGAACTTTAATTAGCACTAATTAGTAACAATAACTTAAAATTCAACAATTTGTGTCAAGAAATAATTTTATTATCCAAAATTTGCTATCTGAATAATTTGATAATGGATTACTGTTTATTTCAAATTTCAGTAACTTATGTCTATTCTTTATTGTTACTTTAATTCCAGACACTTATCGTTGGAGTAAATTGGACGTGTTCGAAATTTTTTAATCAATTATTTGAGTATTTGAAAGTTCAAAAAGGAAAAGGAGAAGAAAAAAGAAACATGACGAATTCATTTTCAGTTTTATTTTCCATTTGTAAACACTCAGATAACTGTAAGCAAAATGAAATTGACACGAAAAATTATAACAAATTCTACAGGCAATTTACTAACCAATCCATTAAATTATGAAACAGTAGGCAGTTTTATTATATTTAAGTGGAATTAGAAGACGAATAATTGGAAATTAATAAAATTAATGAATTACTATCATGCCAACAATAAGTATTGCATTGATATTAATATATGTGCCAATTATTTATTTTTCTTTCGCGGTTAAATTTCTTTATCAAATATTATATATTTCGCTGCAATTATTGCAATAAATGCTAAATTGAATTTCGATTTCGATTATTTTAGAATTCAAAACGATTAATGAGAGGTAAATAATTCATAATTTGATGGTAAGTTTAATTAAATAAATTCCAGATCGATCTCTCCTAATCATACGGTTTCTTCGATTCCGGTTTGACAAGACTGTTAAAAAGATAATTCAAATCTTCGTCCATTTCCGTAGCTAATTTAGCTCATTCTGAATCACTCACTCATTAATGTCATTATCGACTGCCCTGATGAGCTGAAATTATCAACGCAAAATATGTGGAAATTTCAAGAATATTCAACCTTTGACCTCATGGCCACATTGAGACACTAAGAGAATTATTATCAAATGTCTAATTTGGTGTTTTGCAAGTTTGAAATTAAACAGTAAAATTCGTCTAATGCTATTTTGTGACAAATATGGATGAGAAATTTCTGGGAAAAAAAGATAGCATTTTTTTAAATTAATATTATTTTTGCTACTATGTTATAATTTTCATTTTTAAAATTACTTGAAAATGTTGGAACGATGATAAGAATGGTAATTTTCAAACGACTGATAAGAATGATGAAATGTTAGAACGACGATAAGAATGATAATTTTCATGTGACTGATAAGAGTGACAATTTTCAAGAGACTAATAGAAGTATAATAATTTTCAAGCGATCCCATATACATATGCAAATATATCATTTCCCAGTTATTCAATAATTCATTTTAACGCTACGATTTAATGCATTTCAGTGAATACAATATCAATCTTAAATTAATATTGTTTGAAATGTCATGCTAATTATCATTACCCCACAGGTTAACTTTTATTATCATTTTAAATCCTTCAGAAGTTCATTTTCAAATGGTAATGATTAACAAGTGTCATGACTTTAACATATACTTTGATAATAACTTTAACATACATCCTAAAAAACTGAAAGTTATACACTAAAAAGGTGATTCATTTTAGTCAAACTAATTTCTGATTGCAAATAATTAAGCTAAATGATAATTGTGAGTTGACCTGATACGCCATCGTATATTAGACGAAAATATGATTTATGTTAAAGATGCTTAGAATCATACCATCACAAAACCTTTACAACTTACAGTAACATAACAAAAGTTGCAAGCCAATATAAAATCATTATTGATTATTCCGTAACAATTTATTCCATGCTATCCATACTTCATTTCATACCTTTCAATGTTATGCAGTAAAATTACCTATTGTTCTACAATTTCCCTACCCCTAATTAGTAGTACTTTTATACTAATATCTGATCGGTACTTTTATACTAATATTCAACTGGAACTTTCCTACTAGTATTCAATTACATTTTTATATCTAAAAATTGCTTCCAGTTTTCAACAATTGGTATTTTCATGTATAAAAATTGTAAACAATATATCAGGTAGGTATATTTTGCAAGCTATTTTCTCTCCAATTTCAGTATTTTAAAAATGTTCTATCCTTTAAATGATTTGCGCTTCCTTAAGGCGTGTGAAATTTCTTTTCTCCTCCATTTTATTCTGGAATATTCGTTACGATCATAACGGTATAATACATACATTATAATATTTAATCACTCTAATAGTTGCATTTGATTATATCTATGGTTGAATATTGATGTCAATTGTCTAATTAAGTTGATTCATTGTCGCGTCTGTAAGGATAGAAAGAATTTAATTCTTTCTGAAAAACTAATCTTTTTTTTTGCTCTTCCCTTTAAAGTAAAATAATTGAATTCTTGAACTTTGATCGAATACTGCCTTCTTTTTATTTTCCAATTCAATTACCGTAGCTTTCCCACTATTCTATTATTCCAAAAAGTATTTCCAGTTAGGAAATGACTCGTTTCATGTAATCTTGTCATTAATAGACTCACTTTTCCTTTCACCTTTTTCGCATACTAATGAAAAATTTAAATGACAAATTTTTAATTACACTCGATGATATGATGAACTTTTTTAACATCGGTAATCCTTACAAGGCTATCACCAGAGAAATAGATATACAGAAAAAGGATTACGCGCAATGAGAAATACTGAGAAATAGTTGATTCACATCGAATCAATCAACTCTATCACAGTAACCCTACTTTTTCATTCATAATATAATCCGCTTTGTATCCCCAAAAATCGTTAATTGCCTGAAATTGGATGTACTATAACAAATGGAATTGATATGTCATAAACAACAAATAACAAATAATGAGAAATAGATATAATTGATTTTCATAGAATCAATAAATACTATTGTAGTAGTACTACTTCTCGTTCATAACTTAATCCGTTTTGTACAACCAAAAAATCACTAAATGTTTGAAATTGAATATACTATAACAAATAGAAGTGATACAGCGATAAACAACAAAGTGATACTGATATCATTTATATATATACATAATTGGGTAATAGTATTGTTAATCACAATTATGTATATATAATACTCATAACTTCGATGATGATGATGACGGTGTAGTACTAACATAAACAAATCCTTTTATCAGCGCTAATAAAATTGAACAGCATAGAAAAAAGGTAACAAATCATGCTTAACAATACTATTAATCACAATTATGTATATGTAAATGTATGCACTGAGTTGTGTCACAATATAATCATAAAATATCCCACATCCCTCTCAATCTCCTATGTCTCTCTTTTATTTCAAACTTATAAAATAGCAAAAAAGAGGTAACACTAATTAAGAAGAAAGGAATAAAAAATTATTTGTTATAGGAATAATTGTACAACGAGGATCTTTTAATTATGATTTCCAAAATCCAATTAAAATTTTTCATTGGTAATAAAAACTATCAAGAAATCATTATCAATAAAATATACTTTCAACTTGATTTAGTCCAAAAAAAACAACATATAAGTTATAGAAAACATGAAAGCAATATAAGATATATAACATACGCCGATAGACAGATAGATACACATACACGCACAGACATCTACAACCGCACACACACACACACACACACACACACACACACACACACACACACACACACACACACACACACACACACACACACACACACACACACACACACACACACCACACAC